TTTGGAAATTCAGCAGATGGCTAGCAAAACCACTTCCTCAAGAAACAATATTCCTGACTTGTACACCCCCGTCAGTGAATAATTATAAAATAGTGCATCGTTCACCCTTTTACACCCGATCCTTGTGGTTCTTTGTTTTTGCTCATCCCCTACTTCCTTTGTTTCACTCATCTGGCTTGGATAACCCAGCTGTATTGCTGCTTGAACTGCCATTAAGTTGGCCCTGACTCAATTTGGACACCCTGTTTCAAGCTGCCCCCAAAGCCATCCAGCCCTGGGCTAGCTCCACGATCAGTTGTATAAGAGATCATTGTGGTTCATACAGGTTTTATTGAGTGATTTTTAGAAAGAAGTAACCAAGTCTTGCTTCCTGCTTCATGTGTTCTAGAAGGCCCACTGAAGCCCATTAGTATAACAGCAACATTCCTGATGGGGGAGGGAACAATGCATAAGGTTAGGTTCATTGGTGAGGGATGAAACCCAGATGTATTGCACAGAAGGTAAGAATTTTACCTCTGTACAACTAACGCCCTCTTTATGGTAATAATAGATAGATTGCAATTTTGAGTTGTTTCTGATTCACAGCCACCCTATTCATTTAAAAAGCAAAACAAAACTAGCGTCATCCAGTGGATTCCGACACACGGTGGCCCTCTCTATTTCTCCCCAGGCCAAGTCTTCATGGAAGCAGACAGCCTCTTTCTCGCAAAGAGAAGCCGGTGTCTTTGGATGGTTGACCTTCAAGTTAACAGCCCATTGTTTAGTCTACACAGTCACTGGGGCTCCTTTTATTACAGAGTAGAACTGCTGGGGAGAGACTTGCGTTTTTACTTTTTCTGGCTGTAATGTATGGTAGCAGGTCACTAGGCCTTTTTTCTGGGGCGCTGCTGCTTTTGAAATGTCAGCCTTAGTAACCGACCAAGACTTCTTGTTATTAGATACCCTCCAGTTGGTTATGCCTCAATGCCCAGTCTCGAGTCATCCCCACAATTGTTCTTTTCAGTCCATTTTGCAACAACTGTGTCAGCCCATGGCTTTGAGGGTTTGCTTTTTCACTCACCCACTACTCTCCCTGGATTATGGACCGCTCTGTCCTGACAGTAATCATGTAAGAAATGGCTCAGCATCCTTTCTGGTAAAGAAGCTATCTGGCTGGATGTGTTCTCAGATGGATTTGTTTTGACTTCTGCTAGGCCATCGTGTATCCAGTATTCCTTACCAGCACTGCATTCTTGTCTAGGAGACACCTAAAGGTATCAAGGCGTAGGTCAGATCCACTTTGCTTTTACACCCTTTAAAGAGACCTCCGTAGCATTCTTGCCCAGTGAGACCTGATGTGTGATTTCTTGACTATGATTTACATAGACGTTAGTTTTGGATCCAAGTGAAATGAGATCCTTGACAGCTTCAATCTTTTTTCTGTTTATCGTGATGTTGGCTCTTGGGCTAGTGGTCAGGATTTTTGTCACCTTTACACTGAGTTACAGTTCATGATGAAGGCTCTAGTCTTTGATCTTCAGCATCACATGCTTCAGGTCCTTCTCACGTTCACCAGCAACATTATGGCATCCATATATTGTATGTTGCTAATAAGCTTTCCTGTAATTGTGAAGCTGCATTTATCTCTGTAGAGTTGAGCACAGGTGTTGTTTAGCCACATATATAGTTGCTGTTTATGCTGTTGGAAAGCGATTGGTGCAATGAATGAGTCATTAGTCTTACAAAATTATGTCATCTGAACTCTGGCTTTTTTATTTTAATAAATCATTTGGGGGGTCTTACATATATTATAACAATCCATATATCCATTATATCAAGTGGACATGTACAAATGTTGCCATCAACAATTTCAAAACAATCTTTCCTCTTGAGCCCTTTGTTATTAACTCCTCTTTATTCCCTCCCTTGCCCACCCTGCCACCCTCGCAAACCCTTAATATATGTATTGTTATTATTATTTATACATATCGTATATCACCCATTCTATCCCTACACCTACTCTCTTACTGTTCATCCTCCTTAAGGGGGGCTATTCCGCCATCATTGCTATCCGTTACCCCTTCCCCTTCCTTCCCACCCCCTGCCCTCTTGAAATCGGTATACTGTTTCTGAGGGGGTTGTCTATCCTAAACTCTGTATATAGAAAGCTCTCAACTCTACTGATATATTTACACCTGTCTAGCAGGATTTGCGGGGTAGGACTGAGATCATAATAGTGGCGGGGTGGGAAGGGGGAGGATTAAAGAGCTAGAGAAGTGTTGTGTGTTTTGCCAGTGCTAAACTGCCCCCAGGATGTACGTTCTCTTCCATGAGGTCCTTCTGTGCGGGAATGTCCAATTTACCCACAGATGGGTTCTGGGTCTCTACTTTGATGCCTCTCTTTCACCTCATGAAATTGTTTATTATTGAACTTCTGATGCTTGTAACTATCAACACCTCATGATCTAACAGTCTGGTGTACTATTTTCATGTGGCTTTGTTGATTTCCTGCTAGATGGCCACTTGTTTGGCTTCAAGCTTTTAAGACCCCAGACTCTATATCTTTTAATAGCCAGGCACCATCTGCTTTCTTCACCACATTTGCTTATGTATCCAGTTTGTCCTCAGGGATCATGTCAGAAAGGTAGTCATCGCCCAGTGCCAAATTATTAGAACCGTGTGTTTTTGTGTTGAGGAAAAACTTATAAAGTAGAGGCCCAAAGTCCATCCACTACCTCAATGTATTGCCATATAAAGATATGTACATAGGTCAGTACCCCGATTTTTATGTATTAATATATTTTTACATATGTACTTGTCTACGTGTGTAGCTCTATAAATAGTTGTGCTTCCTAGTTCTTTCCTCTATTTCCTTGTACCTTCCTCCTGTCCCACCATCACACTCACCCCTCATTTGTCCCTCAGTAACCCCTCTCACCTAGATTACATTTGCTCCATCACCACCAGGAACTCTTTACCCCCTCGTCTGGCATTATTATTTCTATCATCAGACCATGTTTTCTGTCTACTGATCTTCCTCCTTTGTTTCCGACTTTCTCATTCCAATCCCCATTAGTTATTCATACATCTTGATTGCCTGTTTGTTCCATTTCAGACTGAAGGAATTGTCAAAAATTTCAGTTTCATTCTCTTTGACACTAATGATCAGTGTGTGAATTGGAACGTGAACATTAGTCACATTAACTGGTTTTCTTTCCAGGTGTATAAATAGTATCATGTCACCCACAGTGTTGTACTTTGGAATGATCTTGAAATGTTCTTTTTGACAATGAATATGATGCTGTTCCTCTTTAATTTGCCATCCCTAGTGTAGTAGGTCATATGTTTGTCCAATTCTAAGGGTCTAGTCCTCATCCTCTTCAGCTCCCTAATGCCTTGGATAAGGAGCTTTGTGTGTTCCATTTCATATTTTTAACAACTCCTGATTTTCTTATTTAGTACATTCTACTTTCTGCTTATGAATGAAGGTTTGCGGCTATATTTTGTTGTTATGTTTTCTCATTTGAGTCTTGCTGCACCGGCAGATAAAGGCCTTGGAAGCTTTCCTCCATCCACATTATCAAGGCTGAGTCTATTTTGAGGACGTATAGAGGTGTCCAAAGGAAGAAAGGGATATGGAGAACGTCTGACCTTGTCCCAATCTAGAACAGCCAGGATCCAACTCCACAATACATAAGTAATCGGTCCACACTGATGTCTTCAGGTGGCAACGAACAAATTTCCCCATGAGGTGCCATCTTGCAGGAGTTGGCACTTTCTCCCTGTGGAAATAACTTTAGTTTCGATCAAATTAATTCAGCTGAACGTCACGTGCCACAGCATCTTAGAATCATGAACTTATTTTCAATAGTACTGTGTCACCGTTCGGCTGGCATTTCCCCTCAGTTTCCTTAATTTGTAGAAAATGGACAATATGTTTATCTTACTACCCAAGAAAACTTGACTAATTTATTTGAACAGCTGCAATGTGACCAACTGGGCATTTGCCATGCCAGTTATCCTTGAGGTTCTTTACCTGGCAGCATCACCCCAAGGGGAAAGCTGACGTTTACAGGGGATGGACAGTCAGAGAACAAAATCTAAAATGTTGTAATGGCTCAGAAATTTTTCTTCTGTAATACTCAATTTCTCTTATTAGGAAGAATTTGAATTTACTTCCTGCTCCTCAGTGGGTTGATAATGGCAAAAAAAATTGAGAAACATTCCCCTTGTTGGTAGTAATGTTACTCAGCCTCACATAGTTGAAGTGAGCTGGATTCAAGTCAAATATCTAGTTCTCACATTTTTATCAATAGAGAGAGATGGCGGACCCCCTTCTAAGATTAGTTTTCATGTTATAATTTCATATCCAAATGCACTGAGTTTAACCCTGGTTTTAATGTGTGTTTGTTAAGTCTTTGAGAGAATCTTTGTTCTTCATGCAATATTTATGCAGCTTGTAGAAACAGGTCTATCATCCGAGGTCCCTTTCAGTGCCGAGTGCGTATTTTGCCTCAGACCTGTAGCTTTCCCAAGGTCCCTGGGAGTTCTGAGAGAAAGGGGGCCATAGACACTTCATCTTTTTCTTACTAATGCCGAACTCAGGCTAGTTATTGATTCCACGAGCTTGTCTGTGAAGAAAAGCAGGGAAATGAAAAGACCTTAGTTCAAACCAAGCACCTGAGATGGAGGACCTGAGAGAGACAAGTACGGAGGTGTCTCGGGTGAAATGTTTAAAGAGGCATTTGTACAGCCCTTAGGTTCGGGGCAGTAGGGCCTCGTGTTCCTCATCCCCACACCAACACTGGTTCCAATAGACTTATAATTCACTTCTACACCCTTCCCTTTTCAGGTGGATTTACACGGGAGCATCTCCCTAAGTCTGATGAGCACAGGAGTGAGCCATTGTACAACACACGTCTCATGCCAATGTTATGAGTGGAATTCTTCACTCGTAAAACTGCATGGGACTCTCCTTGATCCAGGGAGACGTAAACATTTTCCCTTCTTCTGTCTTCTAGATCACTACGGATCTGAGGCAGCGTTGCACAGACAACCACACTGGGACATCGGCCTCGGCCCCCATGGCTGCAGGCATCATTGCATTAGCACTGGAAGCCAAGTAAGCCTTGATCTCTCTATGTCTTCTTCATTGTTGACAACCCCTCCTTCCTAATGTATCAACCCAGAATACATCCTCCTAGCCCCGTATTTAAAATATCAAAGATAGAGATTTTTTAAATATATTTCCCTTATAGGAAGGAAGAAGAGTTTTTCTGGTTTTCATACTCTTCAAGAAAATCCAACTATGCAATTACTATATTATGGATTCTTAGTGCAAGCTTGCCAGTTGTCTCCAATACTAGTTGAGGTTTTGCTTCTGGTCTGGGAATGTTCCTGGGAGACCCAGGGAGCTAAGTTCTCCCCACATCTGCTCCGTGTCCCTGCAGAGCCACGAGGTAGCTCCAATTCCATGACAGTCGCGCTGTCCCAGACAGGCTTTAGAAGACAGAGTATGTCAAGGTCCTGTGACTGGAACTAGGAGCGAGAACAGCTTCTTATCCCAAGTCCTGCTCAAAGTCTGTAAGTCCTTTGTTTAAAAGATCACTTTGAACGGCCTATGCGGGTTCCTGATGGTAGGTCTCATCTCTTCCTCCTGGAAACACAGATAGATTCATTTGTTTTGACTCTCTGAAAATCTAATACAGGTCTCCAATCCCTCAGTGTCAAAATCCAAAATCCCCTGAAACCTGAACTGGTTTTGTTTTGCATGTGTAACATCAAAAGTCAGTTGATGGCAGAGCTTGACCTGGACTGGTTCTCCGCCATCAACAGATCTTATGTAGTTCCCAGTGATGGTGAAAATGCATATATATCACTGCAGAAATATTAATGGAGTAAATTACGAAATGCTGAGTCAGACTTGGCTGAAGGTTTGGACACCATATCTAAAAAGTTTTGAAATCCACGATATCTGGTGTAAGGAGCCTGGAGAACGAGTGTGGGTGCGTACTCTGAGGTTGCCCCTACGGGATGAGTATAAAAAAAAGGAGCTGAGTGATTTTTAAAACATAGCCTCCGCCCAGCCTCTAGTGAAAGGTGGAAAGCCCGTTCATCTAGCTTTATCCTGAAGCATGAGCGATAGGTAGACAATACAAAAACAGAGGGGTGGGGGACAAGAATAATACAGAGACTCAGGCATTAAAGCAAAAACGGTACTATTTCATACATGGGTACCATCCCACATCTAAACCTTCCCCATTTAAAATACCGTTCGACTTTAGTATAAAATAATGTGGATATAATAAATTGGTAACTGATGTAAAGCATTGGACTGAAACATACAGAAGAAGAGAGAGGGAGAGGCTCATGTGTCGTGGTCACCTGACCAAGCATGGACCTTAAGACATATTCACCCCCCATGACTGTTCAGATTTCCGTCGTCAGGATAAGGTGAGATAGTGGGTCATTTCAGCATTGTACACCTACTAAAATATTCAGGGTTCATGTTCAGCCAGAAACTGGAACGTATTAAATTTTCGCCTTACAATTTTTTCACTAGAGTATTCTGGGAGTAGAAATTTCAATTCAGTGTTTTGCTTTGTTTTTTAAATTTGTTAAATTGCTAACATATAGTAGACATTTTAAAGTATAAAAAGGGGGAAAATGCTCCGCTGGGAGGAGCTTTTGTAGTATGCATCATACACACACACACACACACACACACACACACACACACACACGCACGCACACTAGGTGAGCATTGAGCAGCTCGCTCTGAGTTAGTGCACCAGTGGTGTCTCCTGGGAAGGTTCTCTCTGGTCATGGTGAATTTCTTTCATAAAAACAGTTTCACATGGCCGACTTAAGAGAACAGCATGTGGCTGTGGAATTTTGTTTCCTGCTCAGGAAAAATGCCGCAGAAACTGTTGTGATGGCGAACACAGCTTACAAGGGCAATGCTATGGGAAAAACTCAAGTGTACAAGTGGTTTTCTCATTTCAAAAAAGGTGAAATGCCGATTGATGACAAACCTTATTCTAGACATCCGTCAACTTTCCAAATGAATGAAAATGGGAACTCGGGGTGCCTTTGGCAGTCACTCCACCAAGTCAGACCGTTAATCAAGCTTTCAGTGTAGCGCTTCTGAGAAGATTGTAAAGCAGTATGCAACAGAAAAAGGCCTGATTTGTGGCAGGCCGGGGACTGGTTTTGCCACCAGGACAATGCACCTGCTCACGCAGCCACCTCAGTGCGATGGTTTTTTGGTACTCTCGTGCCCCACGTACCTGAATCACCCGACCTCACTCCGTGAGACTTCTTTTTATTTCCATGAATAAAGAGGGACATGAAAAGATACCAAATTGAAGACGTGGAAGCGATGAAGAGAAAAAACAAGGAAAGTACGGTCAGCCCTCCAAACAGATGAGTTTGAAAAATGTTTCAAAAAATGAAATCACAGATCTGACAAATGTACTGAGCATTATGGAGAGTACTTGGAAGGTGATAAGGTTGTTTCGTTAAAAAAAATTGTAAATACATAGCTTTTAGAGGGAAAAAAAACTTTTTGTTTCCCTTTTTGTATCCCCTCATGTGTTGTTTTCCTTCTCAAACTCTGATTCTTTCTTTGGAGTCTCTAATCTGCAAAATATTGAAGGGAAAAAAACCAATATATTATCCTTCCATGCCTGTGATTTACCCACCCCCCCCTCCTACTCCACCCTCAATACACAGACAAGCACAATAAAGAAATGGGTTATAATCTGAAACTTAAATGTAGCCCCCTAATGTCACTGCAGCCTAGCTGAACCTATACAGATGAGGTGATCTCGGTCCTTTCACGGTATTGCAGTCGCGCTATCCCCTCAGCAATGTCTTACAGGCTCAGAGAAATCCCCACTTTATGCCGCAGTCGGTTCACACAATGAAAGTAATTTTGAGACTGAGCAACACACTGAGAGACGACACCCCCCTGCTCCCTTCTTGGCCTCAGAGGATCCCTGGTGCCGTGTCATGGTTACTCGTTGGGCTGCCAACCACAAGATCAGTAGTTTGAAACTACCAGCCACTCTGCCGGGGGGAAAATGAGGCTTTCTACTCCTATAAGGAGTTCTAGCCTCAGATCCCCACAGGGACGGCTCTGCCCTGTAGCACTAGAGAGTCGCCATGAATCAGAATCAACTCAATGATGACTTTGAATTTCTGATTTTTGTTCCAAACTTTTTTTTCCTGGATTGTTTGTTGCTGAAACCACCCTATCAAAGTTTCAGCAATATACTAGTGGAAGAGAAAAAGCCCCTGGTAAGAGTTTACTTGGAAAATCCACAACATTTTAAAACCTTTATAAGTTTAGTTCAATCACAAGCCCAAAGCAGATGGTTGAAAAACAATCTGATGATATGAGAGGGACTAAGCCTTTCCTTAGCATTGTAGTTTGACAAATCTAGTTTGTCAAAGACCAGCCTTTGCCTTTGCGTGCGGCTGAAAGTTTGGGCAAAGAAGTCACTAAAAGAAGGGATCAGACATTGATGCTAAACTACCGCCAATAAGCAGTGGGCCTTCGGTGTGAATTAAAAATACTTAAAATGAAGAATTTGTAGGAAGGCACTCCACAGCAGTGCACTTGGCTGCTATAGTTCCCTTGCAAGCTAAAGGAGTCCTAGCCATTGCTAATGTGTCTCACGGCCATCCTCAGCCCCGGTCCTTTCCAGCAGTCTTCACGGCATCTATTACTTCTGAACCAAGCTTGGACCTTAGTAGTTTGAGAGCCAACCTTTTCTCCAAAAGCTTGAGAAGGCTCATCTGAGGGTGTTCTTTTTATTCCGTGAGCTAGTTGAGGGACAGGAGAGAAGGCCATAACCCGGCAGAACGGTGGCTGTAAAAACACTGCCTAGTGTTTCAGGAATGTCCTTCCCGCCCACATCAGGGTTTGCTGAGAAGCCGGATAAGGCTGAGCCTTCAGATGCAAAGCTCCAGGCACAGACTGCCAGTCCCTGTACACACGCGCGTGCCAGCACTCTCTGCCCTAAAAGGGAAATGCATCTAGGATCATCGCAGGAGCTCTGGTGGCATAGTGGGTTGCGCACTGGGCTGCTAGCCACCATGTCAGTAGTTCGAAACCTCGAGTCACTCCATGTATGAAAGACGGGGCTTTCTACTCCTGTGACAGTCTTAGAAACCCACAGGGCAGTTCTAAACTGGCCTACAGAGTCACTATGAGTCAGCATCTACTCCGTGACAGGGAGTTTGAATTATTTTGAGGAGCATCTGGGGAAACCCTCACATCCTAAACGTCCCCCCAGCCTGTTTCTTTTCTGGTCCCCTGATGCTTGCCCAATCAGGAGGCAAGGCTGTGAGTGTTACTGTAGCCTCGACTTGCACAGGTGGGCTAGCTGCTATTTTGATTTTCCTTGCTTTCCTGAGATTGGTTCTTTTTCACAAGCCTTCTTAGGGAAAAAACAAACAAGCATTCAAAATTAGACAAAGACATTTCAAGTGTCCACTAGAGCTCTTATCCAACGTGGCAAAAGCGTGGTCATGAGTAACCGCTGCGACACCTCATAGGGTCCCAGGCCAGGCTTTTCCATGGGGCACGTTCCAAGCATGTGTGGTGGCAAACTGTCCCTAAACGGAACATAGTTTCAATTTCTTATAAAAATCTGCTAGCTTGCCATTTTTCCCCCCTGGGACTCAAACTTAGATTTATTCTTTCTGTTCCCAAAGATGTTTCCTGTGTACATAAAGTTATATATCCTTTACCCTTGTAAAAACCTTGATGAAGGTAAGAGAGGAATTAATTATCTGAAAAGGTAGAGGGGAGGGGGGAATTGTTTTTCTGCTGAGGAACCCTCACTGTGTGTGTGTGTGTGTGTGTGTGTGTGTGTGTGTGTGTGTGTGTGTAGAAAGAGAGATTTAGACAGTTTATACTATTTTGTTAAACTCATGAATCTTTTGGTACTTTGCTGTTTTTTTCACTGAGTGAATAAAGAACGTGTAGTCAGTGATTACAAGTGTACTAATTACCAGAGAGGCTATTGTACTTGGAATAATGTCTTTTTATGTGGTTGTGGTAGTCCCCTAATCTGGTGTCCATTTAAGGATTATGAGTGTAGGGGTGGAGTC